ACATGGGCTGGGAGTGTAGCTCGTCAGCAGAACACCATATTTAGCATGCTTCAGGGCCCAGGCTCAATCCCTAGCACCCAAAACAACAAAAGAAAACACTCCAATCAAGTGATTTTGACATGCAGTTACCCCGCTTATAGTCACCGGCAGACCTTTCCTCTGAAAGCGTGGGTCTCAGGTGAATGGCATCACTCTGGATTAGGAAATGCAGAATCAAGGCCTCACACAGGCCTACATTTTGAAAATCCTTGGTGACTAGTACACACACTACAGCGTAAGAACTGTTGCCTGGTTTGTGACGAGACTTTAAACTGGGGCAACCTGAACCATGGCCCCCTTTCTAGTAAGGAAGAAGGAGGTGAGGAAACTCAGGGAGGGAAAAGAAGTTTGAACAGTCCCAACTCCAGGCCCTCTCACCCAGCACGGCATGAGAGTCTGTATCTGTTACTGCTTTTCACAGCAGGTAGGCAGATCTGACTGTAACTGAGCTTTGTGTTCTGAAGCAAATTTAGGAGGATCATGGGGAGTGTTACAGAGCCTGTGTGGGCAGCTACTGCATGAGTCAGCCACAGCCTTGAGGCTGTACCATGCCTCTCAGGGAAAGGCCGCTCAGGCAGCCATACTCATGCATACACCCACCACCGCGTGCAGAGAGAGGCCTTCCTCAGATCCTTCCCACAGTGGCTTTCGCTCTGTGAGCATTCCCATCCTAAACTCCATTTCTGCTTGACTAGGTTTTAAAGAGATTTGTTTTTATTTTCTGTGTATGTGTGAATACTTGCATGTATGCCTGTATACCGTGTGCATGCAGTTCCAGCAGAGGCCAGAGGAGGGGACGGGAGCCCCGGAACTGGAATTTAGGCAGTTCGTGAGCTGCCAGGTGGGGGCTGGAAACTGAATCCAGGCCCTCTGCCTAACCTCTTGATCCATCTCTCCAGCCTGATTCTTAATGTCCTAGTCCCTAACATTTTAGCTTTTAGTCTTGTTCCCAACCTTTAGCTTGCTCCCTAAGGCAATCTCCCCAGCCTCCTGAGTCTTCCATTAACCCACAGCAGGCGGTTCCCTTAACATCACTACTATACTGGTAAGCAGGAAATTCAAAGTTAACGTAAGATACAACCCAGGCCCGTGAGAGTCAGCAGCCTTGAATGGTGTCCACGTCCGTGTCCAGTCCCCTCACCCCACTCCCCTGCTCAGCCTGTGTGTGCAGTCAGGGACTGTGCTCAGTGCTAACTGATGTAATCTCACTCCATTTTCATACTCATAACCAAGTTGTCCCCACTTTGAGCCGGGACCGGAGGCTCTATATGACACAGATGGGATTTAATCCTGTATGATTGCCTCGCACATCTGCCTTGTTGAGACTGATGTTTGTAACCTAGAAGTGCATGGTTAGCAGTCAGCCCCTACTCTGTGTGCGTTTCCCCCTCTCAGAGCAGCACGCCACTCTGTAGAAAAAGCCTTCTTCACTGCGGTGCCCCAGACACTGTGGTTCCAGGACCCTTGATGGGTCTTCCCCTACCACACAATCATCATCCATGGAAGGAAGTAAAACGCTGCTTTGAATCATCTCCATGGTACCACCCTTCATCCCAGAGCCTCCTCAAGACCACGGTTACTCAGCACCTATAAGCAACACAAAGGGCCTAGTCCTGTGTCTGAGGCTCACCCTGACTCACCCCTGGGTCTCAGGGTAAGACAGCCACACAAGGCCCCTTTCTACCTCAGTTAAACTACATGTGGAGTTAATACAAGCTTTCCAGTCAGGAAGTAGCAAAGAAGCATCTCAAAGCTTTGTTTTCTACACCAAAGACAATGTAGATGCTGAAGCGTATATGTGGATAGATAAGGCTCATCCTGGCTGCCATACCACCCCAGCTGCTTCCCACAGTGGCTGCCAGTGAGATCCTGGGCCAACTTCTCCTCCAGGCTACCCCATGCTGCCGTCACAGCGCTGATGCAGATATATGATGGTTTCCCCGTCCGTCAGTCCTCAAAGGGACAGAGCATGGAGAATGACTGCTGTTTCCTGTCGTGCAGATGGGTTGTGGATTCTATTGTGATTACATTGGTTATATTGTGGAATTCTAGAAGTTAAAATATTAAAGCCATTTAGACAACCTACATTAGAAGCCACCACCTTTTAGTTCTTTTAGACAGATGTTTCAGGACTGAAATACAAGGCAGAAGTAGGTCCCACGTACAGGCCAGCGAGCACGGAGAAGAGGGAATAGGAACCATGCTAATGGTTTATGTAGGAACGAGGCAGTACACAGATACTCGGGCATGCTATTATCCCAAGTGTGGCTCGTTTCTTATTCCATGCTGCCTTTCTCCCCGACTTTAAAAGCAATGGTTGTTGTTTTGTTTTGTTTACAACAATGGGGGGCAACATTCCAAATGGGGAATTAAAGTACTAACGTTGGAGAGACTGTAGCTAAAAATCTGAATTTGATACTTGGCCAAAGCGATTAGCCTCAGTTTTCTAACTAGAAATCACTACTACTTCCCTCACTGACGCAGGAGAGAAATTAGGCGACGGCTGTGAAGCAATCGGTAGGGTAGTTGGCACATAGAAGGCTCTCAGGTAGGGCTTTGTGCATCCCTCAGTTTCCCCAAGAAGCTCTTGCTTTGTGATCAGCAAAGATTATTCTTAGATGACCAAAGCTCCTCGCATTTTTTGGCTGTATTTTTTTTCTTGACCTATGTTCAAGTTTCTTTTTGTTGTTGCGATAAAACACTCTGACCAAAAGCAACTGGGGGGGGGGGCGGTTGTGGGAGGCCACAGTCCATTGCTGAGGAAGTCAGAGCAGGAACTCATGCAGGAACCTGAGGGCAGACACCATGGAGGAGCAAACACTACTTTCTGGCCGACTCTCTCATTCACACTGAGCTTGCCTTCTTATTCAGGCCAGACCACCTGCCTAGGGATGGGGAGTCAGACACGGTGAGCTGGGTCCTCCCCCAGTCAATTCGAAATCAAGACAACCCCCCCCCCCAACAGGCCCCTCTCCGCTGACTCCGGCTGTGTGGAGCTGACAAAGCTAACTAGGACGTGTCTTTTGGTCATAGCTCCTGTCCTCAGCATCGCAACCATGTCCTTTGAATTCACACTCTTCTCAGATAAAAGGTCCAAACTGGTATCGTAGTTACTTATCTGAATGCAGGTCATGGGACGCAGTCTCTGGCCACATCTTAATGACTTCTTGATAACTGGGGTCTGCGATAGGAGGAACCAGAGATGTTAGGTCAAGTACAGCAGGTCCAGGCCCGAGACTTCATCTTTAAAGCTTCCTTTAGCTTCTATAGCAAAAACTGTATACAAGACATACCTCCTTAGAAATATTATAATGCAAAGGTTTGGCATTCTCAGGTTCCACTCAATGGAATCTATTTAATCTGGGTGTGGCGGTGCATGCCACTAATCTCAGCACATGGGGTGCTGAGGCAGGAGGTTGGAGACCAGTCTGAGTTACAGTGAACTTTGCATCCACACTTAAGGAGAGCCTCCCCTGGGTGAGGAAATTCCAGGTCTAAAGCCCTAAGACTGAAAGACCTCAACATTCTTTCTCTTTTCTTCTGTTTTACCTCATTAAATTGTGAGCTTGAGAGAAAAGAAAGCTAGATGATTCTTTTCTTTAAGATTTATTTGTATGTGTGTGTGTGTGTGTGTGTGTGTGTGTGTGTGTGTGTGTGTGTGTGTTGCATGTGTATGGGTAGCCTCAGAGGCCAGAAGAGGGCACTGGCCCCCCTGGAGCTTACAGGTGGTTGTGAACCGCCTGATAGAGGTGCTGGGAACTGAACTCAGGTCGTCTGGAAAGAGCAGCAAGTGTTCTTAGCCACTGAGCCACCCTCAGCTCTAGATGACCCATTGTTACGATGAGAATGTAGATCCATTCCCTCCTCCAGTCTTGTTTAAACTTTCCAAATTGTGAATTGGAATTTTCCTAGAAACCTCTGTAGTCTGTACCTTAGTGAATACAACTCAGGCAGAAACCTGGCTTCATGGAAAACTTGGAAATGGTATTGCAATATTTTGGCTGGTAGGCTGGCAATGATGATGATGATGATGTTTATTATTATACATATCATTTTTTTCCTCTGTAGGAAAGGGATCATTTAAAATAGTCATTTTGCCTGACTTATCCTAGAGTATTGTTTCTGTTCTTCAACATTAAACTTGGAGATCTCCACCTTTAAAAAGTATGTCACTCTTTGTGAGTTCGAGGCCAGCCTGGGCTACCAAGTGAGTTCCAGGAAAGGCGCAAAGCTACACAGAGAAACCCTGTCTCAAAAAACCAAAAA